CGATTTGGTCTTATTCTGGGCACGGGTGTCAACTTGGCGGCGTACATGCCCGTCCAAAGTGTCGGCATGAAGAAGTTTGGAGTACGACCCAAGGGTTGGTATGAGGAGGCTAACCACGTCATTGTTAATACGGAACTCGGAATGTTTGGCCACAACATCTTGCCGCTGACAAGATGGGATCATGCGTTGACCAAGCAGCATCCTCGCCCCGATTTCCAACCCCTCGAACATCTTGTTAGCGGCATGTACCTTGGCGAGATTGTCAGACTGGCACTTCTTGAAGCTATTGAAACCACCGGGCTACTTGGTGGTGTTGTGCCTCATTCTTTGAGGACTGGTTACTCTCTAGGCACGGACACGATCTCTATGATTGAAAGGTACGGTAACACTTTGATCTTTGGGTCCGACGGTCAACTAACTAATAATTGAAATAGCGACATCTCCCCAAACCTCGAGGAAGCCATAAAGATTTTTTCGGATCGACACCCATCATCATATACACCCACTAGCTCCGATCTTATTGCTATCAAAGCCCTTTCATCATTTGTTTCTATTCGCTCCAGCGCTCTTGTCGCTACCTGTGTCTACACGCTATGGGACCTGCGTCTGGATTTTGAGCAACAATATGTCGATACTTTGCACGAGTCGTCCCTGGAGCGCAAGCGTGTTGAGGACGATATGAAACTGGAGAGCACTACGGTTGCGTTCAACGGTAGTGTGATCGAAAATTATCCTGGATACCTCGCAAACTGTCAACGTTATTTGGATGAGTTGATCGAGAGCAAAAGCTTACCTCAACCACGAAGTATTGGTCTCATTGCGGCTAAGGAGAGCTCATTGATGGGGGCTGCCGTTGCATTGGCATGTGTTGAGCGAGGTGATTGAGCTGGAAAGCTTTTTTCCATTTTGTTAATTTGGAAGAGCCTATGGCATAATTTTTTGGCGAGTGGTTGGCGAATAGCATGTGATGCTTCTGTAAGTCGAGGGATGGGTTATTCGCTCCATTTTTTCTCCTAATGTTTTACATTGGACATCATGAGTGTGCGGAGAATGAAAACGCATACGTAGAGGCGCAGGCTAGCATTGCTTCACATTATGCTTTAATGTTTCTTTTATAGGATATAGCGGCGGATTTTTTATTCAAGTTGGCAGTGTATATAACCGCGGAGGTCTTTAGGCGGCGTTATCTCAAGCGCTTGGGACATGAAGGTTAGCAAACCGGGCCGCTTACGGCACTACATACGTTCAAAATGGCGATAATAAAATCCAAAATGGAAAGATGCGCTTGAAGAGCGAAGACTCAAGATTGTCTTTACCAGATGAAACAAATATTTGCTACTTGCGAGACGAGTAAAGGTGCTTGTTTGGAGTGGAACATCTGGTAGGATGCATTTATGCAACACTAGTGCCCTAATTATGCGACCGATATAATACAATCCATACCAAGAGCCTACCTGCTAGGTAGATGGATTAGTGCCTAGCACTTGTTTAATTGCGTTATCTACAGTTAGATTATCAGAATTTTTACGCAATATATCAGACTTTTTAATAGTACGTGACAATTTAGGGGCTGTCTTGCGAACCTTCAATGTTGGAAGTTGTGATAGCTGTACTCTCACGGCTCACTAGAACCAGGGGCCGCACGTCCAGTAATTGCCCACATGAGGTGGGGCAGGGGCTAGTGAATGTAATGAGTGACCTTGATTATTGTGTACTGATCAACTATGATGCAGGTACTATTTGCTCAACGCGGAGTCAGGTGACCGCCTGCCTTGTTCGCGTTTTGTTCCGCTTCGCGCCAAAAGGGACCCCATTACAAAGGCAGTTGACGCGTTCAGGCACAACAAACAGGCAGACAGACAGTGCGTCTTCGATTAACGACGTAATTCAACCGCGCGGCCTCATGACCAGGCAGAGCATTCCGCCAGTGTTAAATGTATTAACTTAAATAACGGAAATTTTTCTTTCGGCATTGTGCCGCACCGCATCATCAACGCATTTTGCTTTTCGGACCACACCCATCACAATGGCTGCCAGATCAGGCGTATTCAACGAGTGCGCTGTCGCGTTCGTTCCTAGCAATGAGCTCACTCCAAAGTTAATTGGCGACGTGAGTAGGCAATATGCTCCTGACCACTAATTCAGTTGACTCAAATCGGTTTGATTGACTGATTTTGTCTAGTTATCCCGCATTATAGAAGACAACGGCGGCACGATTTGCGAACCCCGCCGCAACGGCTCAATTCCCATCGAAAAAGCCACGCATATCGTTTCAAACACCATCAACTTTGAACAATATGTCGAGTCGCAGGCCATTATGATTCCCGTCGTATCAGAGCACTGGATCTCGACTTCAATCATGAGGAGGAAAGCTGCACAAGTCAGGCCGTTCTCTCCGGATCCACGAATGATCTTTGCCGAAATTGTTGTCACCTGTGCGGATTTGCCGCTTATGGATAAGGAGAGTATCATCGGAGCGACGATGGCACTGGGAGGACAGGAATCTAAAGATGTAACCAGATTGACCACACACATTTGTGCGTTGAGCATGGATGCGCCAAAAGTCAAGGGGGCGCTTGAAAAAGGATTCAAGGGCAAAATTGTTCTGCCTCATTGGTGAGTCGTGGTAATTTGGAATAAATGGCTAGATTTGACATGTGCTAATGGGCCAAAGGTTCGACGCCTGCTTCAAGCTTGGCAAGAGAATAGATGAAGAGCCGTATCTCCTGCCGGATCCAGAAGTAATGAAGAAATCAAGCGATGATGCCATTAGCATCCCCGCAAACAAGAATTTGGTTGGTGCGACATCAGTAAGCCCTGAGTTTCTGCCCATCGCCGCCGATAGCCAAAGCGCACGACCTCCTGTAACGGTTTTCCAGGATAGAGCGGTTATGCTAGCGGCAGATCTTCACATTACTGCGAGGCTAGCAAAGGCCATTGGGGATATTGTTCTCGATGGAGGGGGGAAACTAGTTCGCAATGTTGACGACTGCGACATGTACATTTGCCAGTATCGCGACGGCGATGAGTACATCCATGCAGCCCAGTCTTGCAAGGAAGTGGGTAGCCTCTCATGGCTGTATTCACTCATTGTGAATAACCAGTGGCAAAATCCACTCCACCGACTCTTACACTATCCTGTACCTCGAAATGGTATTCCAGGCTTTAAAGATCTTCGCATCACTATATCCAATTACGGCGGGGAAGCAAGAATCTATCTGGAGAATCTTATCAAAGCTTGCGGCGCAGAGTTCACCAAGACAATGAAAGCAGACAACACGCATCTAATAACCGCTCGCGATTCTAGCGAAAAATGCAAGGCGGCTCCGGAATGGGGTGTTGCAGTTATCAACCACCTCTGGATTGAAGAGAGCTACGCTAAGTGCGAGCTTAGGGCCATTAACATCTCCAAATATAACCACTTTCCCCCAAGAACCAACCTGGGGGAGATCATAGGGCAAACCTTTTTAGACGAGTCGAGAATTAGGGACTTATTCTATCCCGGTGGCGAAGAGAAAGTGTCTCCCAGCGCGAGGAGAAAGAGAAAGATCCTGGAAGCTGCAGCAGATAACGCCTACCATCGAGGTCCTGCAGAGGGGGTCGTCATTGGGCGTGACAAAGACTTTGACGTCATGAGGGACGATGAAGAAGACCAAAATCCGTCCTCCCTGAAATCGAAGAAATCTACCGCCGTCGAGACGCCGGCGCGCTCCCGCCGTGCTCACTCCGGCAAGGAGAACGACACCCCGCCTGCCATGTCGACTGGTAGCCGTAGCGCCAAGGCGAAGGCAAGGGACATTTTGCAATGTATTGCGCCAGATATTGCCTTGTACGAGAAAGAAAAGAAGAGACACAGCAAAGCCGGGGCACCGTGGGGTGGCAAACGAGCCGCAAACTTGGCTGAGAAAGAAAAAGACAGCAAGACTGCCACCAGCCCCAAACATAAGCAAGAAGAAGACGACGACGAGGATACGAAGCGACCATCGAAGAAGCAACGGCCGTCATTACCGGATGTGCATATGAGACTGGTGGTTACTGGCTACACTGGATGGGTTGGAGACAGCAAAAAGGAGGATCAAGACCGTGTAAGTTGCAACAGAGCAAGGAGCATGAATCTCTGGGAATCCTATTTTATACTAATTCTGCTCTTGTATAGAGAAAGATGCGGGCTCTTGGAATTCTGATTGTACAGGAAGGCCAAGCCTGCGACTACCTCGTCGCACCCCAAGTGGTGCGTACCGTCAAGTTCCTCTGTGCGCTAGCTCGCGGAGCGGTTGTCCTTTCGTCCGACTTCATCGACAAGGTCCTCGAAACTGGAGACGTGCCCGATGTGGATGACTTCATTCTGCAAGACCAGGAGGCAGAGCGCAAATACAACTTCAAGATCGAACGGTCGATGGCTCGAGCCAAGGCCAACCGAGGCAGGCTGCTCCAAGGAATCCCCATTTACTGCACTGAAGGGGTTCGAAAGGGACCGGACAGCTACAGGTCCATAGCGGAAGCGAACGGAGCGATATTCAAGCTCTATCGCGCGCGGAGCGGCACGACCATCAAGCCGACAACGGCCGAAGAGGACGGATTCGCCAAGCCAGAGCCAGTGTACTTGCTGTCGGGCAATAGCCCTGATGAGAAGCAAATGTGGGTGCGATTCAGAACCATGGCTGAGAAGGGTAACATGGAGTCCCGAATTGTCGACCCGGATTGGCTACTGGATGTGGCCATGGCACAGGAAGTGCGTTTCGATGAGAAATTCTTAATTGAGAAGCGCAACCAAGACAAGAGTAGCTAAACGGCGAGTCTTTGCGACTTGACGAGGCGTGCCATGGGAGGGAGGAGCACTGGAGTACGGAGTCGGAGCCTAGATACCAAGGTGCTCATCAATGGTCTTCTGTTTCGGGGGTTGGCGGCTGTCTTTGTTTGTTTTGCGGGTGTCTCGGTGCCAATGGGACAAGAACAAATCCTTGTATATGCTGCCTGTTGCACGATATAGCCGTAATCAATCAGAAGAACTTGACGCCTAGAGAGTCTTCGGAACCAAATATTTGAGCTTTGCCCCGCTTGACGAGAACATTGAGAGCCTTGAGTAGGACCTCGCTGTCCATGCCGTGTAGTTCTGGCAGGCAGGCAGGCAGGCAGTTAGCACCAGACAGGTTCCCGGGCCATGCAAGCAAATTTGGCGCATCAAACGCGACGTACCTGTGCCTCTCGTTCCCTCCCCATCAGTCAGCTCGTAAAGGGTCAGAACGCTGCCCTTTTGCGCGGTGTCCTCGACGTAGGCCTCGACCAGGGCCGCCCACTCGTCGGGCTTCTTCCAGTAGACGTAGACGACGTCTCCGTCCCTGGCCTTGTCGCCGCCAGCGTACTCTGCCCTGCCGTCCTTGCGCATAAAGTCGATCACCTGGCGGATGTCGGCGGGCGCCAGGCGGCGGTTGATGCGGCGGTTGGAGAAGAGGGCCGAGTCCGAGGCGGACGAGAGGGAGAGCTTGAAGAGGCGGTGGTGCTTGGCGTAGGAGAGGATGAGGGAGGACCACTTGGTGAGTTGGGCGTGGTGCGTGGTGAGGTTCGGCTGGGGCGTGAAGAAGGCAGGGAAGTGGTATTCGCGGGGGAAGCGGAATGATGCGTCGGGGGGTTGAGATGGCGGTTGAGGCTGGGCGGGCGATGTCGATGCCGATGCCATGGTGTGAGACTTGAGTGAGTGTGGTGATGGGTTGTGGTTGTGGTTGTGGAGAGCTGCTCCTGTAGAATGTATGTACCTAATGTATGGCGGATGGGTGGGCCGAGTACAAGGCGCGCGCGAGAGGGTTGGCTGGAGGGGCAAAGAAGGAGGGGCACATTGTACTTGGTATGTATGTATATCGAGTACCCGGTGCAATCGTCACGTTGGATTATACGGCGCCCGAGGCGGTCATCAGCGGGAAATATGGGCATCGTTCAAGGTGCATCAAGTCTATACTTTTTGCGCGAAGCGGATACTGCTTCACATGCAGCCTGCCGTAGGCCCTGGGAGTTTCTACCTCTATATGGACAATGTATTTTTTGTCCCTTATGATGGTGCACTTTGTGTTGGCAGATGGCGCACAACCGCTTGGGTTTATGTCGCAAAAACTCACGACGCCGTACTTACTGTACAGGTTTCCAAGGGAGGGTTTTATAGCTTGAATTTTGAAGAACATGTCACCAAGCCAATCAATCACCTCATGCGGTTCCAGTCCGCTGGTTCCTCGTAGTCGTTGTAGATAAGACGGAGGCGGCGACTAAGACGCCAGCCAATCAAATAACGACGCGGTCGTTCCCTATCAAGGTCCACTATTATCATGACGATAAAACATCTGAGCGCAGGTGCCGAGGAGACGTCTCGTTTGGAAGAGGAAAAAAAAAGGAAAAAGAGGAGGAATACAATGAATCGAAGGGACTGGAATCTATGCTATACGCATAGGAGAACTTTTCCAAAGTTGAAAAATAAAGAGAGCCGGGCAAGTCAACCCGTTTCGCACAAAGATGCAACCTGAAGGAAGATGAGCAAAGCAAAAAGCACAGCCGGATCCAACACATCCGACAGTTCCCCAGAATCGATCAAACCCTGTTCTCGACTCGCGGCACTGGGCCTTCTCCGCGGACCCTGGAATCTTGCTGATTCGGATAATCAGCCTCGAAATGATTGGACATGCTTTATCAGGAACACGGCCCCCGCGCTTATCATCATCCCATCGCTGCATGGCGAACTTGCGAGCAGCCAGGGCCAATGACTGTGGTTGCGAATGGAACATTGCGTCAAGCTCCGGAGATGTTTGATTCGAGATACAACAGTCACCTGATTCTGGAAATATGAGGCCCATATACCGTCAAGAACAAGCGTCTTTTTCTGTTTGTTTGTTTGGTTGATGATTCTTGTCTTTTGCTTGTTCCTTCTTTCCTTCACTCTCTTTGTCGGTAATCGTCGTCACATAGGAATACACTGCAGAAAACTGTAGATCAGAATGACGACGGACAAGAAGAGAGTAGTGGTTGTGGGGTTGGGCATGGTAGGAATAGCCTTCATGTACGTGCTTCTTCTTCTCCCTCGGCCGCTATGAAAGGAGTATTGACCCTGGTGTCTAGAGAGAAATTGTTAAAATATGATGCCCACGAACGACAATACACAGTCACTGTTCTCGGTGAAGAGTCCCATGTGGCATATAATCGCGTCGGGTTGACGAGCTTCTTCGAGCACCGTAAAGTCGAAAACCTGTACATGAATCCTCTGCAATGGGTATGTCGCTGCTGAACCAAAGAGAAATGGGAAAATGGGATACATCTAACAGGCGGCGCAGTACGATGAAGCCAGCGTCTCGCTCGGGTACCACATCAACACAAAGGTCACATATATAAACTCGGCCTCCAAAACAGTCACATGTGAAAATGGTGACATCCTCCCCTACGATATTCTGGTCCTGGCCACGGGTTCACACGCCTCATTGCCACGCCACACACCCGGCTGCGACGCCAAGGGCGTGTTTGTCTACAGAACTATTGACGACTTGATAAATCTCATCGACTTTGCTGCCGAGCGCAAGGGGAGCACGGGATGTGTCGTCGGCGGCGGGCTCTTGGGTCTTGAAGCCGCCAAGGCAATGATGGACCTCGAGAGCTTCAGTTCCGTCAAGTTGATTGAGCGCAACGGGTGGGTGCTCAGCCGTCAGCTTGACCAGGAGGCAGGGGGCATGGTTGTGCAACAGGTCGGTGATCTTGGCCTAGACGTCATGCTGAGCAGGCGTGTGAGGGAGATCAAGGTCGATGGCGCGAATCACGTCGTGGGTGTAGTCTTCGAAGACGGCGAGGAGATGGATTGCTCGACTGTGTGCTTCGCCATTGGCATCACTCCGAGGGACGAGCTGGCCAGGGCTTCAGGGCTCGACTGTGTCCCGCGGTGCGGAGGCATCGCCGTCGGAGATGACTTGAGAACCAGCCAACCCGACATTTACGCAATTGGCGAGTGCGCAAGCTGGAAAAGCCAGACGTTCGGCCTCATCGCCCCCGGCGTCGAGATGGCCGAGGTCCTGGCCTTTAACCTGACACAGGCCAAGCTCCACGCGCCGAGGGTATTCAAGCGCCCCGACCTGAGCACCAAGCTGAAGCTCCTGGGCGTCAACGTCGCCAGTTTCGGCGACTTCTTCGCAGACCGAGACGGGCCAGCCCATCTTCCTGCCAAGTACAAGAAGTTGGTCAACGGCGCGGCCAAGCAAGCGCAGACGGTCAAGACGCTCACCTACAAGGACCCCTTCCAGAACATCTACAAGAAGTACATCTTCACGTCCGACGGGAAATACCTCCTCGGCGGCATGATGATCGGTGACACAAACGACTACATCAAGGTCGTCCCCATGGTCAAGACCATGAAGGAGCTAGACGTCCCGCCTAGCCAGTTCATCCTCGGCGCCAAGAGGGACGGCGACGGCGACGACGGCGATGACCTGCCAGACGACACGCAAATATGCTCCTGCCACAACGTCACCAAAGCCGACGTCGTGAACTGCGTCAAGGACGGCTCATGCAAGGACCTGGGCGCCGTCAAGTCATGCACAAAGGCCGGCACGGGCTGCGGCGGGTGCATGCCTCTGGTCACGACAATCTTCAACAAGACCATGGCGGCCATGGGCAACGAGGTCAAGAACCACCTCTGTCCGCACTTCAGCTACTCGCGCGCGGAGCTGTACCACATCATCAGCGTGAAGCAGCTCAAGTCCCTGCGCGAGGTGATGCGCGAGGCGGGCAACGACGACACCAGCTCCGGCTGCGAGATGTGCAAGCCCGCCGTGGCGAGCATCTTGGCCTCGCTCTGGAACCAGCACGTCATGGCCAAAACCACACACGGCCTGCAGGACACAAACGACCGCTACCTGGGCAATATCCAGCGCAACGGCACCTACTCTGTGGTGCCGCGCGTGCCGGGCGGCGAAATCACCCCAGACAAGCTGCTCGCCATTGGTGAGGTGGCCAAGCAGTATAACCTGTACACCAAGATTACCGGCGGCCAGAGAATCGACATGTTTGGCGCCAAGAAGCAGGACCTCGTGGATATATGGAGCAAACTCGTTGCAGCAGGCATGGAGTCTGGCCACGCCTACGCCAAGTCCCTTCGCACCGTCAAGAGCTGTGTAGGCACGACCTGGTGCCGATTCGGTATCGGTGACAGCGTAGGCATGGCTGTCAGGCTAGAAGAGAGGTATAAGAGCATCAGGGCACCGCACAAGATTAAGGGTGGTGTGAGCGGCTGTGTAAGAGAATGTGCAGAAGCCCAGAACAAGGAGTATGTTCTTTCCCTCCTCCTCCTCTTCCCACTTGTACTTGATCCTCAAGAGTCAAGACAAACCCGCTAATCACAGATCCGCAGCTTCGGTCTCATCGCTACAGAGAAGGGGTTCAACATCTTCGTCGCCGGCAACGGCGGTGCCAAGCCCAAGCACTCTGAGCTCCTCGCCAAGGACGTGCCTCCCGCAGACGTGGTCCCCATCCTCGACCGCTACCTCATGTTCTACATCCGCACGGCGGACAAGCTCCAACGCACGGCGAGATGGCTCGAGAGCCTCCCCGGCGGCATCAAGTACCTCCGGGAGGTGATCCTCGACGACAAGCTCGGCATCTGCGCCTCGCTGGAAGCGCAGATGAAGGGCCTGGTGGCCAGCTACTTTGACGAATGGGCCGAGGCCATCAGGAACCCCGAGATGGTGGCCCGGTTCAAGCAGTTCCAGAACACGCCCGACACAGTCGACAGCATGGAAACAGAGCAGGACAGAGGCCAGTCTCGCCCCGTCTACTGGCCCAAGGAGCCGGCGGCCCAGGACTTTGGCGGCATGGGAGGCCGGTGGTCCAGCACGGCGTGGGAGCCCGTCATCGAGGCCGTCTACTTTGACGGCGCGGACGAGCTCCCCAACGGCATCTCGGCCACCGTCAAGCGCGGCGACACGCAGCTCGCCGTGTGGCGCTTCAGAGGCAGATACTACGCCACGCAGCAAATGTGTCCGCACAAGAGGGCCTTTGTCCTCTCGGACGGCCTGGTCGGGCACAATCCCGCAAAGTCGTGCTCCAACGACAACGACAACGACAACGGCGGCGGCGGGCAGCAGTCGGCGGCGCCCTGGATCTCGTGCCCGCACCACAAACGCAACTTTGACATGAGGGACGGCTCCTGCAGCAACGACGGCTCCCTGTCGATTGCTACCTTCTCGGTGGAACCGCGCGAGGACGGCCTGCTGTATCTCAAACTGCCACCCGTGGAGGAGCTGGACGCCGCGCTGGGGACTACGAAATGGAGAGTCCGCAAGGGGGAGAGCGGCGACTCGCCCTTTGCAGAGCTCGACAGGAAGATGCAGCTCGTGGGGAGGAAATCGCGAAGAGTCAACGGGATCAAGCCGGCTGTCAACGGGACGCTCGACGGCTCGGCCGACGGAACAGGCTCGGAAAGTGCCCGTCCTGCGCTCATGGCTGGTGGAGGAGGTTGTGGGAGTGCACCGGATTGGTGATTACGGTTCATTGGTTTTGATATATATGCATAAACATACATATTCCGTACAGACACAATGTTATATTGCGTCCAAGGCTATTATTACGGAGTACGGAGTACCACGTACAGCGGCCGTTTTATTTATAGACCGATAGAAAGATACTACTATCTGCTTACATGCATGTGCCTAAGTACCT